ATATATAACCATGTAAATATTTGATGGAGAAACCATTGACAAACTGAGCATCAGACCACATATGAAACATTACTGTCAATAGGAAGAACCCATAACAGACCAGGGAAGTAAAATACAGTAAAATCAATACAATGTTACAAATCAATTAATTCCTGGAAAATCTCAAAACATTTGACATAAATAACACCATTAATCTGGCAAATACTGGTGTCGGGGAAATATCAGAACATTTATCATTGAAAGAGGGAAAATGTTCAAACTTAAACACATAAAAAAAAAGCAAACAATTTTGTTCAAAAAGTTGCCTAATTACTAAATTCTTATTTGTTAATAGAAGCAAAGACAAATAAAAAGAATAAAAGAGCAGAGTTCCAATTTCCCTCGTGTTGCACATATTTCATCTGTCCAAGGCCAATAACTGAAAAAAACTTTTTATAAATATCTTAGAGAAATGAAGGCTTGAGGGCAAAAGAACTGGAATTTCTAATATAATAATATTTCCAAGGGGCATCACTCTTTCAAAAGTATTTGATCTGCACTGATTTTTGAAAATATCTGAGACATTGCTGATATAAACCTTTTTGATAGAAATTTAGTAAAAATCTGGCAAAATTGTGAACAGGAGAGGGCTTACAATGCAATTTTCCATATAGTCGTTATTTCCAAGGGGCATAATTCTTTTAAAAATAACTGATCAGCACTGATTTTCGAAATTATACGAGTCATTGCTGATATAACCCCAAGATATAAGTTTCATAGAAATCTGGCAAGAATTGTACACATGAGCGCACTTACAATGCAATTTTCCATGCATATAATCAATATTTCCAAATTTTAAAAATAAATAGTTGAGAGGCACTGATTTTCGAACTTGTCTGAGACACTGCTGATATGAACCAAGATAAAGTTTTATAAAAATCTGACATGAACTGTACGTGTGAGAGTGCTAAGTAACAAGACCAGACGGACAAACGCCCCCTTTATTTCTTATTTGGCAAATTCTATCATTTGCTTAGTAGAGGTTCCATGGAGCATGTATAGCTTATCTGGGATCTTAGCATAAAACTGATACAATGCTATAAGAATATTTCATATATTCTCTAACAGGAAGGCCAAAAAAGAGCTAATAAACTGCTTCGCTGAGCGCAGCTGGATACGCCCGCAGAGGTCCAACCCTGAACAGTTGGGGCAAAATGGACACAATATTCAAGCTTGATACAGGTCTGAATTTGGATTGTAATTAAATATTTGACATAAAGGTTTCTGAATAAATGTAGTCAAAGAACTTGAAATTGGTTATATGAATTGAATTTATATTCAATTAAAGATTTCTTGCTGTTGTGCAATACACTATGCTGTTGCGCAATACTTAGTAAATCTGTTGTCAGACTATAAACAAATAAATTTAATAAAATTCTAAAGGGAGCTTACATCAATAGATATAATCAATTCACCAAAGTTTCATAAGAATTGTTGAAACTATTTTTGAGTTATTGTCTGAAAACTGGAAAATCCTCCCTTTCTTAATGAATAAAACCCCACAACTCGGAAATGTAATATCTAAAATTTATAAAATTCTAAAGGGAGCTTACATCAATAGATATCAACAATTCATCAAAGTTTCATAAGAACTGCTGAAAGCATTTTTGAGTTATTGTCCGAAAACTTGAAAATCCCCCCTTTTTTTATGAACAAAACCCCGTAACTTGGAAACGTAAAATCTAAAATTTATAAAAATCAAAAGGGAGCTCATGTCAACAGATATAAACAATTGACCAAAATTTCTTGCAAGTTGGTGAAAGCATTCTTGAGTTATTGTCCGAAAACTGGAAAATCCCCCATTTTTTAATGAATAAAACCCCATAACTCGGAAACATAAAATCTAAAATTTATAAAAAACATAAGGGAGCTCACGTCAATAGATATAAATAATTCACCAAAGTTTTATGCAAATTGGTTAAAGCGTTTTTGAGTTAATGTCCGACATGTTGACGACGGACGGACGGACGGACAGACGGACGGACAGAGGTATACCATAATACGTCCCGTAAACGGGCGTATAAAAATCATTTAACTTTAAGGGCAATAACTCCTATACAATGTAACTAGTTGACTAATTTGATCATGAGAATTTAGTTTCTTTCTATCTTCTATAGCTTCTGCAAAACAAATGCCTAATGGCAAACAAAAATTGGTAAAAATCTTCTTTCAAGATCAATAACTCATATAAGGAGTCTACTGAGGATTTCTGCTATGTTGGCTTATTGTAAACATTGTCCTGCTGATCATTTTTGCTATTCACAGTTCCACTCTGGGTGCTATAAACAGTTTCGTATAAAAAACTAGGGGTTATTCCCCGACTAAAAATAACCATGGAGGGAAATCCCTTTTTATTCATATAATTGGTGAAAAAGTATCATGTTTTTTTAATTTGATTGTATAAATTAGTTAATTAGCTTTCAATTTAAACAGGTTAAATGATTAAAATAATTTTAAAAATTAGATTAAATATACATGTTTTGAGGGGAGACAACACTGTTAACATCCTGTTGTTTTGGCAGTGAAAATTGAAAACTTATTTGCAGCCACTGTAGCTCTTTTCGAAGCAGGAAACCGTACCCTGAAACATGATTTTTATTAAAGGCCAGGTAAAAACCTATGAATTTCATACAGTTTTGATTATGGGAAATGTGCCTGTATCATGTTTACATGGGTATGCACATGAGCTGATTTCAGGTTTTTTATGTTCAGATTAGGCAACTTTTTCCCCATTTTCTCTGGATAGAACTTTTTTACTATACTAAAAGTACACTATATTTTTATTTCAATATAAACTAGAGACAATTCTGATTCCCGTGATATCTAGTTTTATACAAGTATCTTTATTAACCATTCCACCACTAAGGGTCACTTAGACATGGTCCCTTAAAATATGACGTAATAGAAAAAAACTGTTGATTGCACCCTTAAAGGGTCAAACATATAATATAGTGAGGTTTTAGCATAGAGATGTGTTAGTGAATGGAGTAAAACAATTCTGAAAAATATCATATGGCATGCATACATTGATTTAAAAGCATCAGTTTGGTATATTTAATGCAAATATTACAGATTTGTACATAGCAACCAGATATAAGAAAACCAGACTGTGTGCAAATTTTGAAGTTTTTTCATCTTTTTGCGACGTCATAATATTTTTATTCATTCTTTCATATATTTGGAACCAAAAGTTGCACATGAAAAGTGTAGATTTTTTCTACTTTGACCTTTACTACTGATCAGTGTAACATACATTTTTATTCATTATATTATACATTTGGTACTTTTTATAGTCAAATAGCTACAAGTGCCATGCCTAAGAAATACACTATTTCAATATTTTTCTCAACTCAGCTACACCTTAGTTCATATAATACTAGGGACCAAATCTTTTTAAAGTAACTTTATTTATGTTTATTTCATAGTTTTTATTCTATTTATTCAAAAGAAACCCAATTTTATGATTTTTTTTCTTTGTATAACTGATGAAAATGTGATACAGGAAATGTTTGGAATATGCCAGTTTAACTATTTGCCACTGGCCAATATGCCAATACTATGCGACATAAAAAATGAGCTGTAGTTTCACTATCGATGGTCACAATCCTTAAAGTAAGACATCATTTTAATCGATATAATGTACAGATTCAGAAAAATAGAGAATTTTTTATATATCACAAACAAAGTTTTGCTTAAGGGTGCTATAAACAGTTTCGTATAAAAAACTAGGGGTTATTCCCCGACTAAAAATAACCATGGAGGGAAATCCCTTTTTATTCATATAATTGGTGAAAAAGTATCATGTTTTTTTAATTTGATTGTATAAATTAGTTAATTAGCTTTCAATTTAAACAGGTTAAATGATTAAAATAATTTTAAAAATTAGATTAAATATACATGTTTTGAGGGGAGACAACACTGTTAACATCCTGTTGTTTTGGCAGTGAAAATTGAAAACTTATTTGCAGCCACTGTAGCTCTTTTCGAAGCAGGAAACCGTACCCTGAAACATGATTTTTATTAAAGGCCAGGTAAAAACCTATGAATTTCATACAGTTTTGATTATGGGAAATGTGCCTGTATCATGTTTACATGGGTATGCACATGAGCTGATTTCAGGTTTTTTATGTTCAGATTAGGCAACTTTTTCCCCATTTTCTCTGGATAGAACTTTTTTACTATACTAAAAGTACACTATATTTTTATTTCAATATAAACTAGAGACAATTCTGATTCCCGTGATATCTAGTTTTATACAAGTATCTTTATTAACCATTCCACCACTAAGGGTCACTTAGACATGGTCCCTTAAAATATGACGTAATAGAAAAAAACTGTTGATTGCACCCTCTATCCACTATAGTTTTGATAAAAAACACAAAAATAGGTAAACATTTTCATTCAAGGCCAGAATTGTAGAAAAGCATTGTTTAAAGGGCACTCACTCATATAAGGAGTAGCATTTGGCAATTCGACTTATTTGTAGATCATTTTTTACATGAGCAGTTACTCTTTATCTATTAATAGTTTTAAAGACAAAACTAAAATCCCAAAAAGTTTTTTAAAAATGTCATTGAAGGGCAATGACTACTATAACAAAATGTCCGACAGTTTTGGTCAAAATGGACAAAAGATAGATTTTGACATTTCTTAACATTTCTGCCTGTCAGATTTTATCTAAAGAACTGTTACAGATTACAAGATAACAGAAAATACTTGGTTTCTCCCCATTGCTCTACTTTTAACCATATGTTCATATTGGTTGGCAGGCAGGATCATCAGACATATCTTTAACCTAGATCAGTTTCAATTGGACCATTATTTTCAGAGGGAAAGATATTTGTAAAAGTTACAGATGATGGATTACAGATGCCAAGTGTTAAGAAAAGCTCACATGGCCCTTTAGTTTTATGTTAAAAAATATACAAAAAATATTACACTCAATAGGAAGAGGTACTTACCATTGCGTAGGAAGTGACTTGCACATGACCATGTGGTGCTCCTTCAGTAGGAGGAGCTATATCGATGAACTGTAATCCAAAATAATCCTTTTCAACAAGTTCTAAATGTCCAAACACTTTATCTAGTAAATGTTGGGCTTTAGCTCTTTTCTGTAAACAAAAAAAAGAAAAAAGTTTTTCCTAACAGATAATGGATAAAATGTAGGCATTATCAATTTGTTAATAGTAAACATATTAAAATCAAATGACCTTATACAAATGATAATGCAATCAAGTACTGATATAAAAGTTATCACATATATACATGTACATACTATTGTTTTAACCCTTTCGGGAGATGTGGGGTATACATAAATATATATATATACCATAATTTTATTCCATTTTGAGACTTGTCAAGGAGAATATTTCAGAGACAGAGAAAATAAACCACAGCCTTTTATTTCCAATAAAATATCATTTACATTTTAAAAATAAATGTTTAAAATGTGAATTCTGAGAAAGAAATTTGTTTACTAAATACAAAGAATCTATCATAACTACTTACATCAACTTCAAAAACTTCTTGGCTGTCATCCAAGAAATGAACAACACATGTGACTGTCTTTGGCCGGATGTCCTGGAAGTTTGCGGCCATTTCTGATGCCCGTACATCGTATGTGCCGCCGGACATTAGCCGCAATGACATAGCTTGTAACTCTGAAAGTAGAAAACAAATCAATCAATTTCTAGAAAATCTTCTTAAGTAGGAAACAACATATTTAGATTTAAATTAATGTGTATAAAGGGATCCTTGTCGTTAAATGTACAATGTAATCTATATATAACGATTGAAGATAAATACCAATTTTTCAAGGGGCGTAGCCACAGGCACTTGTCTCAGAAAAAAAATTCCTATTTACCTTAATATAACACAAGGGACTTAACTCGCATTTTTGAAAAATGTCACCTGGTCGTGAAATTCCATTATATTTCGATTTCTCGGTTGTCAACCCCACTAAAACTTGTTATGCCGTAAATCTAAATTGATTTATCTACACAATGGTGTATAACATGTCTACCTTTATTGTTGGAATCATTCGTAGCAGTCCTACCCAAGTATGTCAACCGTAATTATTTCGTCTACCAACACTCGATTGGAAATATAAGAAATTTTTTTTTCTGAGACAAGTGCCTGTGGGCGTAGCTTAGGTTTTTAAAAAATGAAATGTAGAACAAATTGCAGTACATGGTCTTGGGGGCACTTTAGGCCCCCAGCAGGTCCAGAGCAGTAGCGGATGCAAGGGGCAAAGCCATCCGACTGAAAAAGTTTTTCACCATTTATAGATGAAAATTTGAGGTTTTACAGTACCGGTACACAAAACGTAAAAATTACTGATTATTTTATCATAGAAAATTTACATGAAAAAAAGTTCTATGAACTATAAATAATTTTACAATTACATCTAACTGATGGATTAACACAGAAAAATCAGAAATTTGAAAGTTGTGTATAAATAAAACAGAAACTATTGAGGATCTGCCATCAACACCAAGTTCTCAATATATCAAAGAGCCTTAATGTGAAATTAGACAATTACCATTTGACAAGGTTCCAGTACATGCAGTTGGAACTGGCATAAGAATATATGGCAGGGTTTTTTGTTTTTTTAAGGTATCTCTTGGTGAACTTAATCAAGCCATACATGTAACTGATGTTCTTAATGTCAAGTTATCTCTTCGTGAACTTAATCAAGTCATACATGTAACTGATGTTCTTAATGTCAAGTTATCTCTTGGTGAACTTAATCAAGCCGTACATGTAACTGATGTTCTTAATGTCAAGTTATCTCTTCGTGAACTTAATCAAGTCATACATGTAACTGATGTTCTTAATGTCAAGTTATCTCTTGGTGAACTTAATCAAGCCGTACATGTAACTGATGTTCTTAATGTCAAGTTATCTCTTCGTGAACTTAATCAAGCCATACATGTAACTGATGTTCTTAATGTCAAGTTATCTCTTCGTGAACTTAATCAAGTCATACATGTAACTGATGTTCTTAATGTCAAGTTATCTCTTGGTGAACTTAATCATGCCATACATGTAACTGACGTTAATGTCAAGTTATCTCTTGGTGAACTTCATCAAGTCATACATGTAACTGATGTTCTTAATGTCAAGTTATCTCTTCGTGAACTTAATCAAGTCATACATGTAACTGATGTTCTTAATGTCAAGTTATCTCTTGGTGAACTTAATCAAGTCATACATGTAACTGATGTTTTTAATGTCAAGTTATCTCTTGATGAACTTAATCAAGTCAAACATGTAACTGATGTTCTTAATGTCAAGGTATCTCTTGGTGAACTTAATCAAGTCATACATGTAACTGATGTTCTTAATGTCAAGTTATCTCTTGATGAACTTAATCAAGTCAAACATGTAACTGATGTTCTTAATGTCAAGGTATCTCTTGGTGAACTTAATCAAGTCATACATGTAACTGATGTTCTTAATGTCAAGTTATCTCTTGGTGAACTTCATCAAGTCATACATGTAACTGATGTTCTTAATGTCAAGTTGTCTCTTGGTGAACTTAATCAAGTCATACATGTAACTGATGTTCTTAATGTCAAGTTATCTCTTGCTGAACTTAATCATGCCATACATGTAACTGACGTTAATGTCAAGTTATCTCTTGGTGAACTTAATCAAGTCATACATGTAACTGATGTTCTTAATGTCAAGTTATCTCTTGGTGAACTTAATCAAGCCATACATGTAACTGATGTTCTTAATGTCAAGTTATCTCTTGGTGAACTTAATCAAGTCATACATGTAACTGATGTTCTTAATGTCAAGTTATCTCTTGGTGAACTTAATCAAGCCATACATGTAACTGATGTTCTTAATGTCAAGTTATCTCTTGGTGAACTTAAGGGCATACGATACAGTTACAGGGGAGGTAATGACGTTGCTAACGTAAATTGTTATTTTCGCGACGTCAAACTGTGACTTATCGGGAAAAGATGCAGTTTTCGACTGATTTTTATCATTCAATCTGATTTAACTTGAAAACGAGTTCATGGACCCCTCTTTTTTAAAATGACATTTGGTTTGATTACGTATGAAGATTATGTTTACCAATTTTCATGAAAAAGTCAATACTGCAATTTCTTTTAAATTTGATAAATATACAGCAAAAAATGACGTTTTTTTTTCTGCAATCATGATCATTTGATTAATATGAGTTATTTGTAAAAATGAAATGAACAAATTTATAGAACATATATAAAACAGAAATTACAAATAATTTAACAAAAAACAGCTTGTGTTTATCTTTTAAAACAAAAAAGTTATGTATTTCTATCGAAAAGAAAAGAACGTCCACAAATCTGAATTTTGAGGAAATATCTGAAATTTCAACCTCAATTTACTCAAAAAGTAGCACATGATGGTATATTTTTTATTACATATTTGATTTAATCAGGTAAAAAATAGCCTATATGCAAATTTTCATCAAAATTTCATTATGGGATCAAAACTGTATCGTATGCCCTTAATCAAGCCATACACGTAACTGATGTTCTTAATGTCAAGTTATCTCTTGGTGAACTTTAACTTGTCATACATGTAACTGATGTTCTTAATGTCAAGTTATCTCTTGGTGAACTTAATCATGCCATACATGTAACTGATGTTCTTAATGTCAAGTTATCTCTTTGTGAATTAAATCAAGCCGTACATGTAACTGATGTTCTTAATGTCAAGGTATCTCTTGGTGAACTTAATCAAGCCATACATGTAACTGATGTTCTTAATGTCAAGTTATCTCTTGGTGAACTTAATCAAGCCGTACATGTAACTGATGTTCTTAATGTCAAGTTATCTCTTGGTGAACTTCATCAAGTCATACATGTAACTGATGTTCTTAATGTCAAGTTATCTCTTGGTGAACTTAATCAAGTCATACATGTAACTGATGTTCTTAATGTCAAGTTATCTCTTGGTGAACTTTATCATAATGTTATAAGAAAACAGTGTTATAGGTATCCTAATTTTTAATCAAAGCTTTAGTCTTTCCATTAACTAATTAGAAAACTTAACATAAGCATTCAAGTATAATTAGGATTTCCTCTAGGTTTATCTATAACACAAGAGGAAGATCTGAGGTTAAAAGGTTTGATTTTCTTCGTTACCAGATGTGTTACACATGTTATTTATAAATACTGATCACTGACGTTAAAAGTTTTCTTTCCAGTATAAATCACTGAACAATTTGTAATCACTCAAATACCGAGTATCTTCTTCAGTGCTTTTTAATTTATTCTGTAAGGAGCATTTATACCCAAGTAGAACCTCTAACAATGCTTCCACAACCCTTTGGATTAAAAAGTAGTTAAAAGAAGTGGGCAAAATGAAAACTTCTAAACCAAAGGTTTGAAATCAAGACAATCTTTTGTTCATCCTGTTTATCTAGACATGTAAGAATCATTATTTGTTTTGTCTATAATGATTTATATAATTTGGAAATATTGTAAATGTAAATGAAGATTATAATTACAATATAATCACTAACCTATCCTGATTAATGATATCCTTATCTGACATAGAAGCATATTTACATCCTACACCAATGAACCCATTTTACACATTTTACAAATTTCCATACATGTACAAAAACAGGGAACTGAGATCATAGGCAGAAATTCTCTCCCATTTAACTTAGGAAAGATATGTTTGCAGTTGTTTTATCATGTCTTTCATCATGTTTATTTATAAGTTATACACATATTCAGTTTACTCTAACTCATGCTTTTTAGCATCCATTTTAGCTTGCATATTTATAAAATTACTTTTTTCCAGAACATGTTCAAACCAAGTACAAATGGAAAAACAATATATCCCTCATTTGTAAGATATTCTCTTATCCCCTATACCTCTGTCCCGACATAGAAGCTCCTTCATTCTCTTTCTAACTAAATACAGCAGTACAAGTTTAATATCTATAATGAGTAACCCCTTTCATTGAGACCACATTGAGTGAGGACCCTTTCACTTAGACATATACCTTCATTTGCATTTCCAATAACTCCACTTTCAATATATACTTTGAGAGTAATACCCTTTTTTTAATTTTAAAAAACCATTCAGACATACTTCATTCTGGGCCACACATGTACACTACAGCAGGGGCGGATCCAGCCATTTTTAAAACCCAGGATAAAGGGGGGGTTCCAACGTTATATCCCCGTTCAAATGCATTGATCGTCAAATAAAAAGGGGGGTTCCAACTCCCAGAACTCCCCCCCTGGATCTGCCACTGTACAGGCTCAATATTATTTTCTATATCTAGGCTCAGTATCTACATTGAGTAAGCCCCCTTTCATTTAGACATTCTATATTCTCTTCCCCACAAATTCCAGGCTCAGTATCTACATTTTGTAGGCCCCCTTTCATTTAGACAAATTTTATATTCTCTTCCCCACAAATTCCAGGCTCATTATCTACATTGAGTATAAACCCCCTTCAATAAGACATACCTAGGCCATGTTTCTCTTCCCCATTGACTCCAGGCTCAGTATCTACATTGAGTATAAACATGATAAACCCTGTTCAGTAAGGCATACCTAGGCCATGTTTCTCTTTCCCATTGACACCAGGTTCAGTATCTACATTGAGTATAAACCCCTTTCAGTAAGACATACCTAGGCCA